ATATTACATCTCTTCTTTAAGAACTCGGAACACGAGATATTTGGCTTTTATATAGTGGTTGATATGATGGGATTTTATTTTATTTTATATTCAGGTATTCATGTTGAGGAGGACTTCAGAAGATGAACCTAAAGGACATGCAGCTGCAATAATGACAGAGGTATTACTAGATGCGGAGTGCAAGGGTGTTATTAATGCATCTCAGAAGAATGTTCTACTCCAGGAGATGGCCATCAATCTTTCTTAACATCCATTTCTTGTTTATATAGTTGTTGCCCATACACTGGGTTTTTGCCCTCTAATCCTGTGTTTATAGGAGCTTTTTTGTTGTTTTAGTTCTTCGAGATAGACAAAAACATATAGTTCCACGTAGCAACTAATACATGAGAGTGAAAAATGTATTGTGATATGGTACAGTGGTACACCTTTCCCCCCCGTTTATTCTTCTGTTGTCTAACGCTTGTTCGTTGTGTTGTGTATATGACCCAAATCGCAATAAGTAATTAAATAATTATAATCTGACTATAATATCTATGCACTATCTTGATAAATATTTAAACATAAATGGTAGATGATATATTGATAATGTATTAAATTCATACATCTATTTAAGCATTTTAAATTGAGAAAATTTAGTCATATATCAAATTGAGAAGTTAACTTATATACTGTAAAAAATAATCTATACATTGTGTCGGTACATAAGTTAATCATTATGGACTTTTAAGAAAAAATAATATACATAAATGTCTTAATTTTGTTTACGCTTGTAAGATAAATATTAACTCTTTCAAATTCTACAAACAACCCATTAGTTTAGTACGGTAAGGCATCATTTACAAATGATCAAAATGTCAAAAATTCGATTTATGTGATCGACACTTATTGGGAGAGTCACGTACCCAAAAAAGATTAATTTCTTATCCAAAATGTGAGATAATAGGTATTCATATTTGTTCAATCAGGCTGAGAATGTATATTTTTTTAACCATGCTAATTAATGAAAAATTGAAGGAAGCTAGGGATATTTTTTCAATAAAGTGGAAGTTGAAGAAGACATAGTTGATGAACACATATCTCTCTGGTGCCATTATTTTTACCTTTATGAAATTCTCTTAAGTATAATTTCAAGCATGGGGTCTGGGAAACATCACAAGTAAACTGAATTCAAATGTAATTAATTGACAAATACATATTGTTCTTCGGTTGGGAAGAAGTCTGGTCAACTAATCTTAAAGAGTAAAAGGATGAAGATTTTCCACGTTTTTTGGGACCTTAGTACCTCTCGACACGACAGTATCACAATAATATAGTAACTTGTAAATGGTGACAAATATTTGTATTAGAGTGAGAGTGTGCACATATATATATATATATATTTGGTATGAGGTAGGGTGTTGAAGGGGTTAGAGAATATAGAAAAATAGAGATGGGATTGATAGGAAAGGATGTAGACAAAGGGGACCCATGCACCATGCACATGAAGGAATTCTGGGTCTTAAACGTTAGACAATAAGTGTGTAAGTAACATTGTATAGCAAAACTTTCAAAAAAGAAAATGCAGAGAAGATGTGGTTGAATAGGATTGATACACTATAATGCATACACATGAACAGAAGGTTGTGCATGCATCTCAAGTAACCTCATTGCCTTTTTCCCATAAATGTTTCTCTCTCAGTACCCACTCTACATATATGCATCCCTTAGATGCATTCAAATTGCACTAACATTTTTTAAAAATATAACTTTTATCATATAAATTAAAAGAGCTGCAACAAGCTAACTAATAGCAGTCACATTCAAGGGGGCTAGTTTGTAAAAGGACTAAAATTATTTTTTGGAGTTATTTTCATGTAAATTTTGGCTTATCAAACTGAGGAGCATTACATTATATTTTCAGAGTATACTGTTAATATAGATCATACTGGTAAAGAAATTGAACAATATAATGCTATATTGGTTAATGATTGGAGCTTCAATAATTTAAGGAAAATAATGAAATCTTCATACCTATATATAATGACAATTACAAGGATACTGTAACTTAATACAAGTGGATGAATATGAATCATAATACGGTATGTATATGCAAGTGAAATATTTTATGTTGTGTTCAAATAACAGAACTTGTAGTTTAAAATACTTCAAATTCAAATTTGACATGGACTGTGTGACAACTAAAAGAAAACTAGTGAAGTAACTTGCATGTTTATTCTTATATCATCATTAGATAATTAAACATCAATTATATTTTGTCTTATAAAAATAAAATATTGGTTTATGATACTAAGATCTTGATTTTTGTTTTTCTTTCAACAACAAAAAACAAAATAAAATGTTGTGAGTTGGCCTGATAGTAAAGTACAAAAACAGTTCAAGTGATAATAAATTGATGATGAATGAAGCAGTGAACAATAAAGGAGTGCAATTTTTTCCCTTCTTTAAAGAGACCAAGTTTGTCATGTAACGATCTCTCAGTTTCATTTCCCAACACATTGTCAGATATCTATTTACTTCTCTTATTTTCTTCATTACTTTTCAATTTCAAATGCCAAAAGATCTAGTTTCTACTATTACTATAACTTGGTTTCTGAATTTTCAACAACTTTAAAACCTCCATAAATACATTACACTAAAACACACATGTATGCAGACACAAGCTCTCTCTATCACACACATATATAGCAGAAGAAGATAAAGAGAAGCACCGTTTTTTATCCTTTTCTCTTTTTTCAATGGTTTTAGTTTGCATCATCTTATGCATGCAACATATCTGAGTCATCATGATAATGGAAGCTGATCATAGATATAATCTATCTTCTCTGTAGAAATAGTGACACATTCATAGAATCCCTAGAAATAAGCTACCATCTCCTGATTCTTACCAGTAACTAGTAACTATAGCTTTGCACAACTATTTCCCTTTTAGTAAAATTTTAACTGTGTCCATAAAAAAATATAATTGATAAGCTAGCAGAAATTTTACACACTATCTAATCAAATCAAAATTGCTTGAATATTTGTTTATATGTATAAAATAATATATAGTGTCTAGCTAACATATGTTCTAAACAAGTTGTAATAGTTTATAAAAACCAGCTTATAGAAATAAGCTAATTTATTTTTTGTTAAACCAGCTTATAGGTTACTTAAGGTGTTGCCAAACGCAGTTTCTATTTAAGCTATTTCATCCTTTTTTTTCATTCACACTTCCACATATACCTCACCAACTTCAGCAACTAGTGCTTGACTTAAATACTCATTACTGACATTTTACTACACAACAAAAGCTATAATAAATTCAGTACATTGATTAATTAATTTCATAAGATGCTCACATCATATATTAATGTACAATGAAATTTATCCTTTAAGTTAATTTATGAGTGAATATTTATAGTTTGTTCTTTATAAATTTCCACATACACTAATTTGATCAATGTAAAAATAAAATTTTAAACTAATGTTCAAAGATCATTAATATAAGTCAAAGTTATGTCTATGAGGGATCATAAAAATGTGAAAAAATACTAATTTTATCAACATTTGATATTTTTTCAACCATTTTTAAAATTTCAAATTTTTATGGATGAATTTGATAGGACACAGAAACTTCGAAGGAAAAAAAGTAGATATTTAATTTATTGCTTTTTTACTCGGTAACTGTTAATTTACCTGAAGTACGTTAAATCAGATTGATGAAATGATGCCTATTTTCACAGTGAATAGTGAGGTTATATCCTTGCCTATAGTTTTCACCAGTCTGAACTGAAAACGGGTTAATTCAAAAAAGGTGAAAGGGTTTTCAGAACTGAGAGGATGTTATAGAGTTTGAAAGGCTAGAAAGACCTAGAGGGCTGAATAACTAGTTGCAGATAAAGAATTTCACTTCTGATCGGTTTTAACTGTTCACGTTTCATGCTAATTCAGCTTTCTTGCCCACGTGAAAATAAACATTCGGAGGATAATTGATTAGACACTTTATTTACTAATAATATATACCCAAATTACCTAGTAGTCTGTGAAATGTTAATGTAAATTTTATATAACAAAGTGTTTTTTACACTATGAAATTAAACACTGACTTCGTAACGTAAAGTATAGGAATTTATAAACAGGTTTTACAATTAAAATCACATCATCAAGTTGTACGTACATATAGTATGGGTTAGGTACCCCTTGATAAAGTTCCTTTTTTATTAGAAAAATCAAAATTTTCTTTTTCTTTCCATCTTTAATCTTTTCCATGAGATATCTGCCAAGTTTCTGAGTTCCTTCTGTGTAAATTAATATAGCAGAAAACTAGGGAGATGTATGCTTATCTAACTGGAATCATTATATTCTCCCGCAAAGAGGAAAGTGCTATGAAAAATTAAAATCAAATTTCAATAACACTTGTATCGTTGTTTATGATAGGATGTGACAATTTCACCTTTAAAAAATAAAATCTAAACTGAGAAGTGAAAAAGAAGGTAGCTATTATTTTTAATACAAGAGCTTATTAAGCTATATATGTGATACTTGAACATGGTTATACAATCTAATCAAAAAGATATATAAAAACTGAAACTTAATAATTTTTGGCTTATTATTAAAACCAAGTGATTCAACCAAGACAAAAGTAGACGAGCTCATGATTTTAAGTGATAGTGGTACACTGGTACTCTTCCATTTGCAGCTTGCTTTGAACCCGGAAGAGGGTGAGCTAAGTACATTAAATGCACAGGATAGTCACAGGCGGAATGAAAATCCTGTAAGGGTAGTAACAGTTAACAAATAATATAATATAAAATGTTGACAAAAATTTACAACAAGCACACCAGTGATATCATTAAGTTGAAAATTCTGACCTTGTAGATTATGGCATATATCTGAAAGAAACTATGATGAAGGAACAGAAAACCTTACCAACACACAAATAGGTAGCAGATGAAGTTGTGATAAGATGATGAGAAACAAATTGAAAAACATTGAGAAGGAATAGAAGATAACAAAGGGTGGCTGGGGGGAATGAAGCCTGGTCCGAGACTAATTTTGAGTTAGATGTACTAACCATAGAAACTTTCATTGAAAGAATTGAGATTAGTAACAGACTAACAACTCTTACATAACCCTCGAGCCAGACAACATTCCTCTCAACTAAACCTTTGCAAGGCTAGAATATGCAACCATACATACATATATACAGAACAGAAACATGAACTTCACTTTCAATATCCAAAGCAAACAAGTTTTGAGGGGAATGAAGCCTGGTCCGAAGCTTTATAGTTCTTCAAAACTGTGAACATATATTTGTGAAAAGCCTCGAGCCAGCCAACATTCCCCTCAACAAAAAAACCCATATGATGAATCAATGTTTTGTTATTGTCATATTGTGTGCCTCACCTTACTCACTTACTCTGATAACCCTAACCCACATATAGGGTCTTATATAGAGAGAGGTTGCGCAAAGTGTAAATATGAGAGAGAGGGAGAGAAGTGACTCACACTACACTAATGGTGCTTTTATGGTGCTATTTAGTTACCTATTCACATGTTCCATAATTAGCTTATGCAAAACGGTACATTTAAACTCATTTACTATCTGCTGAGATAGCTGTAAGATATATAATTAAACCAAAGCATTGTAGTTACGCAACATCACAGAATTTGTACGGAGACATTCATTGAACAATCAACACTTGAGTGATTCAGATTTATTTTATGGAAAGCATACTCTAGTTCGATGGTTAGAGATAATGGTTCAAGGAATCAAGTGAAGAGGTTGTGCGTTCGAATATCATCCATATCAAATTAGATATGATTGTGTTAAGATGAATGTTTGTTGTGAATGAGATTGGGGGTTCGGATATTATGAATAATAAATACTAACATACTAATATTTGCCGATCAATAAAAGATTTATTTTATGAAAGTAAAATGTTATTTTTTGTTACCATTATCCTGAGTGAGACAGTTTTTTTAAGAGAAAAAAATAATTGGAGACTAATTACAATGTTAGGTCAAGCTCTCCCTAAATTCATGACTAATTACAATGTTCTAATGAGACATGAGAAAGTACTTTGAGGTACACAAAATTTCAAGGTAAAGTAAATCTATTATCATAGCTGTGAAAATATCGCCTAAGTGTAATTTGAACAATTTTAGAGGCTAATGTATTAATTTATGTAAATTTATTAATTGAGATTGATGTAATGTTCATCATAGTTAGCGTGATGATTATGTTAACGACTTTTTTTTTGTTCGAACACATCTTACATAGAAGCGATTTTGGTTGGGAATATCCACATAATGTTGTGACTATCTTTTTCTTATATTTCTCTATACACAACACTAAAATTTAGATCCTTGTTTTTTTATCAAATTAAACCATAGCTCCTTCTTAATGAAAAGCAAACACCTACTAAATTAGTCACCTATCGGCACACAATTGGACTAAGGGAGGATTGTTTTTTTTGGGTCAGTATATTAATAATGAGGATAAGAATGTACAAAAAAGAAGAAAAGTACAAGGAAATTTCAAGAGATTACAAACAAACGTTCAGACAAAGAAGAGGTTTTGAAATCCAGTCAGAGTAAGATATGTGAGACATCCCTGCAATGGTCTTGATCCAAAGTCAAGCATTCACCCGAGCAGCATCCAAAATATGAAGAGAAGAATGCATAGCGTTGTTGAAAATAGTATCATTCTGAGATCGCCAAAGAGCCCAAACAGTTGTAAGCCAAATAGTGGACCAAATATGACGGTTTTCCAAAGTTTAACCATGCCGAGATGATAAAGGAAATGGTTAATTGGCTGAAAGGGTAACACAACAAAGATATCCAACCATTTGTAAATCATTTGCCACACGGAATAAGAGAAAGAACAAGAGAATAACAGGTGCTGAGAAGATTCCAGCTGGTCCGAATAGAGAGAACACTGGGCTCCGCCTCCATTGAACATAGAGACACCCCGCACAATGAGAGCATCCATGGTAGGGATTCTGTCTTGAAAAAGCCTCCAAGCAAAAGAGGTGACCTTCAAGGGAGCCTTAGCCTTCCAAAGTTGATGATAAGGATAAAAGGAGAAGGAAGGCTCATGAGTAGAAGAACACATAGAATAGCAAGCTGATTTGACTGAGTAAAGCTTCGTTCTGTCGAATTTCCACTCCCACCGATCTGTTTTGTTACGATAAAGCACCACTTGATTCAATTCAGACAAAAGAGAGTTAAAAAGTTCAATTTCATACACAAAAAACTGACGCCTCCAAGAAAAGTTTCATTCCCACTTATCCCCCACCCAACTCCCAAAAGAAGATATGTTTCCCATAGGAGAATTTGAGAGGTTGTAAAGCCTTCTAAATCTAGAAGATAAAGTGGTGGACCCAATCCAATTATCATGCCAAAAACTAGTGTTAGACCCATCCCCAACAGCTCGAACTATACCACCCCAAAACCAATGATCACCTAGCGAATATGAGGAAGAATTAAAATCTAAATCCCTAGCCCAAAAAGACTGATGAGTGACAGAAGTCCTAAACCCAGGACCAAAATAATTATGAGGAGAGTGGCCATATTTAGAAAATAACACTTTACACCAAAGGCTATCCGACTCAGTAACCAGATGCCAGTTAGACTTCCCTAAAAGAGCACGGTTAAAAGATAGGAGGTCATTTTCCCCAAGACCTCCCCCACTCTTAGGAGAGAACACCTTATCCCATTTTATCCAATGTATCTTTCGTTTGTCATCCCATCCACCCCAGAGGAAGTTTCGCTGAAGCTTCTGAATGGAGCGGATAACAGAAATAGGAGCCTTATAGAAGGACAAATAGTAGACAAGAAGAGCGGATAAGACAGCATTGACCAGAGTGACCCGACCACCAAAAGAGATCTGAGAGGAATTCCAAGAAGTTAGTCTGGATTAAATTTTTCAATAAGAAGATTCCACAAACTCTTACGCCTGTGACTAGACCCCACGGGGATACCCAAATAAGTGAAAGTGCTGGAAGATATTTTGCAGTTTAGGAATGCAGCCGTTCGCATAAGGTGATCTTCAAGAATGTTAACCCCAAGCAGACTACTCGTAGAGAAGTTAATCTTCAGACCATAAACAAGCTCAAAGAGCTGAAGAACTCCTTTCAAAGCCCAAATGGACCTGTCAGAGCAATCACCAACAATAATAACATCATCAGCGAATTGAAGAAGTGGCAATGGGATGTTATCTGAACCCATCGAGTAAGGGGGAAAAAAACCCCAAGGAGCAAGCTTGGCGCATAAGATTAGAAAGACCTTCAGCCACAATGAGGAAAAGAAAAGGCGAAAGGGGGTCACCCTGTCGAAGACCACGGTGAAGCTTGAATTCTTCCATAGGACAACCATTAACCAGAACAGAAGTAGTAGGAGTAGATAAGCATTCCATAATCCAACCTCTCCAAGTATTACAGAAACCCAACTGGTCCATCATGTGATTAATAAAATTCCAAGAAACTGAGTCAAAAGCTTTTTCAAAATCGATCTTGAAAATTCCGCATTGGTTGCCCGAAGACTTAGCATCGTGAACTAATTCGTTAAGAACCACAACCTCATCCATGATGTGTCTGCCTTTGAGAAAAGCCGATTGAGTGTTACTAATAACCTTGTCAAGGACTTTCCTAATCCTATTGGCCAAAAGCTTGGCAATAATCTTATAAAGACAACCGATCAACGAAATAGGCATGTAGTCACTTATCTGCTGCGGGCTAGCCATCTTCGGGATTAGGCAGATAAAGGAAGAGTTAACACCTCTAACAATTTTCCCTTTAGAGTGAAAATCAGAAACCATAACACAAATATCCTTCTTCAACAAGTCCCAAAAGGATTTAAGAAACTTAAAGTTGTATCCATCCGGACCTGGACTTTTTCCACCATCGCAGTCCCAAATGGCAAGTTTGATCTCATCTTCGGTGAAGACCGAAGTAAGATAAGAATTATCAGAGTTGTTCAGTTTGCTGAAAGGAACCCCATGAAGTGTAGGACGCGAAGAGTTCTGTTCCAAGAAGAGGTTTTTGAAGTGATTTTGAACACCTTATCTGATATCGCTAACACCATCAATCCATTTACCATTGACCTTCAGACCCTGAATAGAATTAGACCACCTCTGAATCGAAAGAGATTTGTGAAAGAATTTAATAAGTATCTCGGTCGAACATTATTTAAGGAAGTTAAAAAAACTAATATTGTATTATTAAGTGATGTGTTTAATATTTTGAGTAGTATGTAGCTTAAATTTTTAAGATTGACTAATTAGCACATTTATATTATATACACAATGTCCTTACTACATTTTCTATCAATTCTAAAATACTTGCATACCATCAATTTCATTCATATCTTAAATGTTGGCTCAATCATTTCACTTAATTAATAAAATCCATATCATAAGAACTACTCTATTAAGAGATTTGTGGTGACAATGAGGTAACTAAGTCAGTTAATTTGAGTGTCGATTTATTAATTAGCATGATAAATTTCGTTTATAAATCAAATGAGTTGAATTGCTCTTAATCTTAAGCCAAATATAGCATGGTGCATAACTTGAGGGACTTTTCCTAACTTATAATGCATCTATTTTAACTTGTTATAAATAAAATATACTCATGTATTTAACTATTCATTACTCTCTTTACAAAATTATCGCATTTCTTATCCTCAATTATTATATTATTTGGAATATTAAGAAAACAGCTTTTGGTCCATTATATCCTATAGGGATAACCTACTCCTTCCGGTCAAGCAACCGACCGGTTACCTGCTACCAGCAGTTGCCTCCCAGACAAACACAGAGAAGAAGACAAAATGAGTATTTAAGATAGACTTTACAGTATAGATGTGTGCCTTTAATGTTATTCGTTCATCATTGTCTTATTATTTAATTTTTAGACTTTTCTTATCCCTGCTTTCAAATTCTCATGTACCATACTTTACCCGCACGGTCACACAACACAATCATACACTGTACTCTTCTTCTGTTTATAGGTAATAACATGTGTTTATCTCTCTGATCCCCGCTTATCTTTTGTGGGATAAAATCTCATTACCATATCAGTTATCATGGATAAACCTTACTTATTTCTTTTTCATATGTGATTCAAGAGTAAATGTATCTATTTAGTACTATTTATTAATTGTTTACTTAAAATACACACACCACTTAATGGAAAAATATCAATGATATAGATATGAACTTATGCTACTTATTGGTCTTATTTTCTTATTTGATCTTATTGGTCATGATAACATGAGAATTCATTAAGTTTGTTAATTGGAACTTGAACTCTTTTTTATTTGTTGAGATCCTTTAGGAAGAGATAAT